AAACGTTATCACCTCGGTTTCGTCGGCTGGAACGCTCGGGCAATCGGTTGGCAAAATTCGACTCGTACCTGCCACATGAGCCAATCAGAACGTGACTTTCAGTGCGAGCAGCTGTGATTGGTGCAGCGTTGATATGCTAAGTCATCCAAGTTCCCTTGGGCGGAGCTCTCTCTTGGGCGGAGCTCTCTCTTGGGCGGAGCTCTCTCTTGGGCGGAGCTCTCTCTTGGGCGGAGCTCTCTCTTGGGCAGAGCTCTCTCTTGGGCAGAGCTCTCTCTTGGGCGGTACCAGTGTACCGGTACGGTGGTCTATCGCATCGACACTAGTTGTAGAAATGCGAATATGAACAATGCGCTCGTGCATGGTACAATATGTCTTCCTGCAGCTGCCACTCCACGATGCGGGCGCCACCGTGGTCAAGGGTGTAAAACGAGTCGTGGAGGCACTCCATCTCGCACGCCATGAGCCGCTCCAACTCCATTTTTGGCTCGAGGTTCCGCCATGACCCACGTACCCCAGTGAATACCCAGCGACGACCGGGTCTGGACGTCCTTGTGGATCTGAATGGCCTCGGGCACATCGCAATGCTGAACGCGGAAGACCTCGCGCGGCCGTACGCGCCGATCGGGATCGCCGAGACGCTAAAGCCGCCGAACGTGTGGCCAATCGCCTTGAATGACGAGCAGTAGGCCGTGTTACCCGAGAAGAAGAAGGAGCCGCCGACGCCTTGGACGACGTAGCCACCCCAGAGTGCCTTGTTTGTGTCAAAAAGACCGCGGTGGGTCTAGTGCATGACCGGGACAAGGGATAATGAAAAGTCAGCGATATCGTTGCCGTATCCCACCAGTTTTGCTCGGTGATTTGGTCGCGTGGAATACCGAGCGGCGTCAAGTAATGGGCGTTGTCCAGCGGCACAAACCAGCAAAGGGCTGGGAACCGTTCATGGAGCTGTGTGAGTGTCGTGCTCTCCATGTGGTCGTAGTGGTTGTGGCTCAGAACAACATCATCGATTCGCGGGAGGTCCGCGACTTGAAGCGGCGTGGGGCGGTACCGCTTGGGGCCAATCCACTGCGACGGGCACAGCGCTCGACAAACTCGCGGTCCGTGAGAATCGTTGCGGTCGTTCCGTTTTCATCGACCGGGACTTCGAGTAGCACAGAGGCGTGGCCGAGCCACGTAATGCGGGCTTTGCCAGTCGGAATGGTCTCGCCAAAGTCTGGTATATGCACCGGCAGCGCCTTGTCGAGCTCGGCGGCGTCTGCGGGCACTTGCGGCCCGAGCGCAGTGGTAGTCCGCTTCCACCGGGCAAAGTCCATGAATGTTACCAATCGAAAGCCCCAGTGCAGCCGATGGAGAAAGGCCCCCGTCGACGCGTCGAGCTGGACCGGCTCCAAGTCTCGCACAAGGTCGGGCGACGTCACGGCAAAAGACAAAGTGGCGGTAGTACGCCGATTCGGGAATCGGGAGAACGGGGCGTTTAACGCTAGGTCATTGACGGAAATGGCACGCCCAAGAGGCGCCACGTCAGACTTTAACGCCAGGCGAACAGGGTAAAGTGCCCATCGGCCGAAGCCGCTGGCAGTCGGTCGATCGCGCGCCACAGTGCAAGTCATATCCTCCTCGACTCGAAGCGCGACAGGCGCAAATGAGTTCCGAGAAAGACTCCAGGGAAGGCTCCCGAGGCCCACCGACCTGTTCAAACGAAACGATCGAGCAACTCTCCCGCTTCTACTGTACTGCACCCATGTTCAGTGCGATGAAGATTTGTACAATCATCGTAGGTAGTCTATATCAGGGTATCATCTATTACAGTCAATCTAGTCGCCACGGCACGACCCGTGACGCGCCATGGTCGAGGGTGTAGAACGTGTCAGCGTCGTCTTCGTCGGCCATGAGCCGCTGCAGATCGTGTTTGGGCTCCAGGTAGTGCTCGTCAGTGAGCGTCCACGTGCCCCAGTGAATCCCGAGCGACGACCGGCTCGAGACGTCCTTGTGGATTTGGATGGCTTGGGCGACGTCGCAGTGCTGGTTGTGGAGCACTTCGCGCGGCCCGTACGCGCCAATCGGAATGGCCGAGGCGCTGAATTCGCCAAACCGGTGGCCAATCGCCTTGAAGGACGAGCAGTAGGCCGTGTCACCGGAAAAGTAGAACGAGCCGCCGACGCCTTGGACGACCCAGCCGCCCCAGAGGGACCGGTTCGTGTCGTGAAAGTACCGACGGCTGTAGTGCTGCGCAGGCACGAGCGAGAAGGTAAACTCGGCCTCTTGCAGCGTCACCCGCGTTGCGTCCCACCAGTTTTGCTCCGTGATCTGATCGGCGGGAACGCCCAGTGGCGCCAAAAACCGAGTGTTGTCGAGCGGCACAAACCACTGCAGGTTCGGAAACCGCGCATGGAGCTCCGAGATCGTCGTCTCGTCTAAATGATCGTAGTGGTTGTGACTGATCACGACGGCGTCTACATTCGGCAGGTCGGCGACTTGAAGCGGCGCTGGCCGGTATCGCTTGGGGCCGGCCC